ATAATAATAATAATAATAATAGAAATCAAATAGGCAATGCCACGTGGTGCTTTCAAAGATCAAAATCAGTTCTTTAAATTGGGCATGGATCTGATACGGTGTTTCAAAGGAGGCGTATAGCATTCTTTATCACTCACGTGCACCGGCTGCTTTTGATTGAAGCAATTATGCTCCAATTAATCAAGTGATGTGTCATTCATGGATCAGAGGCAACTGGGCTGATAAATTTGGGGTGCCATTATGGGAAGCATCTAAATAGCTTGCTGTTTGTTGCCCCTGGTAAATAAGCTGCAACTGGGTCCTGCAGAACAGAAAGTTTGACAAAGATTGATTTCTGAGCTTTTTATCAGGCTGTGTATGTCAAACATAAATAAATGGATGCAATTAGCGTAACAGATGGGTTACTAACTTTACATTTTTGTTTTCAAGATATCAGTAAGGACAGCGGGATAGGAGACTGACAGGTCTAATTAATATAGCACAGTTCTTCTGTGCACGCCTAACAGGAGCCAAGCAAGAGCACTGTGGTCTTTGTAAGTGGTTTGTCATCAGGCATCAAAATGTCTTAGAGCCATGTGGTCCTGATACTGATTGTTAAGTTTATAATTTTCCCCAAGGTACTTTTCTCTTCCATTTTCAGGTGAGCGGGGCCCGAAGGGAGAGAAAGGACAGAAGGGAGACCAAGGTGGAGAAACAGGTATATTTAATGTTTTTTTCCCCTTGCCTTAGATTTTCACAGGATTTCTCTTCTTTCAAGTACAGATTTTGCTTGTTATATGCACATTCATTTTATGTGGTTGCTCATTTTTGTCCAAGAATTTGCTTTATGTGGAAAAAACAAAACAAAAACCCTGCTGTTATGATTTGTGCCAGCTTAGCCAGTTTGCACTAAAGGTCTGGAAATGTGCCAATCCTTCCACCAAAACTGTGATGGTATGTGGGAAAGGCCTTGGGAGACTGGTCCAAGAAACACTGCCAAGAGAAGGGCCAGATAAGAGACAGCATAGCCCCGAGCTGGATAGTGGACAGAGCAAAAGACTCAAAAGAGACCAGCCCTAGTTGCTGGGTTGTAAAGGAGACGGGGGAGAATTGGACTTTCAGGCTTGCAAGATTCTGTCAATGTAGCTTTACAATGAAGTAATAGTTGTTGTTTTGCTGGTTGTGATTCCTATCTGGTTTACCCTGAGAGGCCGACATAAACCTCTTTTTGTCCTCATTCACACTTACCATTGTATTGTGCTGCTGTTCAAGTGTCATGTCCTGTCTCTCACTTACTTCCATACCTGCAATAGCTACATTGTACAATGGGGTCAAAACAGTCATCAACACCTTGTCCAACTCCCTTACCCAAAAGGAACTAAGTTGGATATTTTCTGTCACACCAAGCTGCTGAGAGATCTCAGCCCCAGGATGAGCTTTTAAACTCAGCGGATCTACTGTGAGCAGCATAATGAAGAATGCTAATAAAAACTAGACAGCCCATGACCCATTGGGTCATCCTTTCAGAGATATTTCCTTACCTAAACAGAGAAACAGAATGACCATGGGTGGATTGCTATTGTTTTGGTTTTAAAATTAAAGAAGAAAACATCAGTTTATTAAAGAAGAAAGATGCATAGTGAGAGAAATATAGATGCTTTTCATTTAACAAAGGATGCTTGTGATGACAACACTTTGTGGTTGATATGCCATTTTTTAAGAATACTCTAACGTTTTCACTTCTTCTTCTTTGGCTTAAAGCGACCTAGAGCTGACCATGCTGGAATACCAGTTTCTCCAGATAAATCAGCACATTCTGTGTGATTTGTCCTTGCACTTTATGTATAGTGAGAGCAAAGAATGACTGTATTGGGAACTGGGCCTGCTGAAGAGGGACATCTTCACCTTCTGATAAATTGAGTGTAGTTATTGGAATCATGGCAATGTCATTTCTGAATGCACTAATGTTTATTTTTGCTACAATGAGATTCTTGTGGAGTTCTTCCACAATCATCCACGTTCCATTGCAAAGCCTTGGAAGATCCAAGTTCCTCAGTAAAATGATGGGAGATCCTGTCTTCAGGTCTAGTTTATGTAGTGGCAATCCAGAGAGTTCAAGTGAATCAAGGAATCTTGTTGGAAAATGAGTGGTGTTAGCTTCTTCACTTGAAGGTATTGAAGGAACAATATTCTTTCATCATTCCAAGGAAGCATCTAATGCATGTGGAATTGATTTTTCTCATCATTTCATTGAGGGGAACCAAGATAGAGTTCTTTGAGGACAGTTCTGCAGGACTGTCAAACCTCAGGTAGATGAAATCTATACATTCTCCTATAGTTCTTGCTTGCAGAACCATTGTTGTTGTTCAGTCGTTAAGTCGTGTCCGACTCTTCGTGACCCCATGAACCATATTGCGCCAGGCCTTCCTGTCC